GTACCTGCATATTCTTCGACCAATTTATCGGCTTCGAATTTCCTTCTAGGTCCAATTGCCTGTATCGGTAGAGGCAGTGAGATTCAGGTCGTGGTATTAATTTACCTCCGAATCTTGGGCGCACTCTCTACGTAGGTACATCGGTACTCTCACGATACCACTCAAGACCGGTTACTTTTTCTCCTATGTTGGGTGTTGCTAGGCTCGTCAGAATATCAAAGCTATTTTCTTGGTGCTTCGTATTCCCTCGAGTGTGAGTATCACAGAGCCTATCCGTCTAAGTTCCGATGAACGCAGGAATAAGAGCCGCGATCGTTGAAGCAGTTCATAACCTCTTCTGTTCTAGTTGATGGCTACACGTGCTTTCATTCATTCACCCATTGAGCCGGCACTACGATAACAACCTACTGTTGACATTCGGAAATTCAACTGAGGCACAGCCAAGGGATCCAACAGAACCGTAACAGGACCTTACTTTTCCCGACTAAGGACCCTTTACCCCTGTCTATATACCCTGTTGCATCGAATCCTACCCTCCAAGACACAGAGTTGCATGATAATTCGAAGCTACATATAGACAGGCCTCTCCACTATACCCCCATCGCGTCAGTGTCCAGTATCCACGCTAGGTTAGGATTCTTTATATCCATAACCAATCTCCCTAACGGAAACAGAGGTGGCCTGCCGCCTGCCACACCCGCCCCCACAGTTTTCCTCCCGTGGTCGTCTGCGACTTTCGCAGAGCCTCTCACGATAATCGATTCTTCGAATCAACAACGACCCGGGAACGAACCTCAGTCCCGGGTTGAATTTTCGATTTACTGGGAAGCGGGATTAAATTAATTACGGCCCATACATTAGAATCATTCGACATCCATGTATTCGCCAATGCCCATATACTCCTACCATAAGGAGTCGCGGCCGAAAACCGCCAACAATAGCGTGTCTCCTACCCCTGAGACCGGACACCTTTCGACAACTTCCTCTTTACCCGCGCCGGTTCACCATATTCAACACAGTATGGACGACTTTCTCGAACCAGCGATCGAGGGTCCACCGTCGCCGGAGCGCATCCGCGCGCTCAGCAATAGGATGAAGCGCAATTCAACTGCTGATAAACACCGGAGCGAGCTGACGACGTCCTCGGGATCGTCGTCACGTCTGTCAACAACATCGGATAAGCATTCTTGGAACCAGAGCTTAGAGAGTCTTAGTTTGTCAAGGAATCCATCTCAAAGATCAGCGTCGAGTGGCGTACCGTCGCGTGAGCGACCTGATAGTGTACAATTTTTCGGGAAAGCGATTTTTAATCGTAGCAGAGGTAAATTGCGCAGAGAAGGTAGCGATCCGAGCAGCTCAACTAGTTCGCTGGATGTCTCCGAGACGCCAATTGATAGTGCGGCGGCAACGCTCAAGGACCAACCATTCATCCAATCAGTGTTTGCGCGCCGGCGGGCATTAAGAGGAGAAGCTACCGCGCCGGTCCAGAAGAAGCTGCAGATCTCGGGACCTTATAATTTCCAGCATCTCACGCATACGCCCAAGAATAGTGTGCCTAGTCTGAATGAGACAAACCGCATAGACCTTGTGTCAGAGTACTCAAGTATGCGACCACGGCGGCCAACCGACGCGTCTCTATTCAGCCCTGGCGAATCACAATTCGCGAATATTTCCTCTCAGACCTTTTATCACCAGGAGGATCCGTCGGCAGGGCTCAACGCCAATGCGATCCAATCGCAACAGGAAGCTCTGCCGCCGCCGCCGCCACCACCGCCCATGCGGTTCGCGAAGCGGTCCCAGTCACAGGACAAGATACGCGTCCCGCCTCCCCGCCCACCCAGGTCTCCAATTGAGAGTGGCTTTACTTCACCCATACCGCCACCCCCGAGGACATCTAGTCGGGTTTCTGTGCGGCATGATAGGTTTGGTTCCTTGTCCGGAATGACTATAGAGCGCCCGGCAACGGTCACTGGTTTCCGGAAGCCACAGCCATTCACACCACCATCGCCGCAAAGGTTGCGACTTACACCTACGCCTCACATTCTCCCCGTGACGGAACTTGAGCAAGACGCAAACGAGGGACCGCATAATCCGCCTCATACCGTTCCCGCCACGGACGATGCTGCTTGGCCTCTACCCAATAACATTACTCCCTTGCCCGATGTTCCGGAGGAGGAAGAACACCATGCAGTAACTCGGCCATCCCGTATGAGCGTTGCGAGTAACCATTCCTCTCTTCGGGGTAGCATATCAGTCCCATTACTTCGCCAATTATCCCTGACTCAATCACCCCAAAGACCTCCTAGCAATGCCTCAGATACACTGGGTAGGTTCGACTTGTTTAACGCTAGGCGCGCAGCCGGCGCAGCCACTCGCGATGAGCACCCGGCCGACGATGAGGCTCCAGATAACTGGGAGGACGATATTGATTATTGCTACGAACACGAAGCTGAAGCGGACTGTGACTACGCTTGGGAACGTCCATCATGTGATATGACACGGGAAACTGAGGACGAAGGAAGTCAAACTACCGTAGATGAAAGCGAGACCATAATTACCTTTGGCGGTCTTTCCGCCGGACTGTTATCGCCTGGGAACGTCGATGTTCCTGCGCTAAGCCCGGCCAGTCAGGTTTCCAACGTGACAGCGCACGAAGCTATAACGCCAACAAACCCGGCCATTCCGGTGGCATCTAACTTCTCTCTCCCACGACGGGACAGTTCGGCGCAACTCCTTCGCGTACATACGCGAAACCAATCGCCTGAACGCAACTTTAAGGAGGCGCAAGGCTTTAGCCTGTCGCCGTCTCTATTGATACCGAATGACTACCACCAGCAAATGCTTCAGCAGGAGAGGGAAGAACTCCCGGAAGATAGCGATGACGAGGACTTCCTTATCCAGGGAGCCACTCTTCACGACGAGCCCATTATGAAGTTCGGCAGCTCACTCAAGCCGTCACACGCCCGTTCAAGTGCTTCGACTACTGATTCTGCTTACTCAGAGCAATCTATGACCTCCAGCCGCCACAAATCGACAACGTCGAACTCTACAGCTTACACTCGTTGGACCGGCAGCAGCACCTCCAGCTGGCAGGCACGCGATTCTTCGCAGTCTGGCTCGCTGAAGCCTGCCTGCGTTGAGGGGTACCCCTTACTCGTTTCACCTACTACGGTGGTGCCGCCTGTTCAACTCGACGAGGGAATGGACCTAAGACAGGATCTGAACCGCGAGAAACACTCGAGGACACAGTCGCACGCTGACCTCCTCATGAGGACCAACTATGACGCGCCCCCACCCACCGAATCCAGACCTGTAAGGGAGCCGCCCAAGACTCGAAGACGGGCGCGAACTACGAGCCGCAGCCACGCGTCTCCGCAATTCGCTCTCTTCCCGAGCGTCACCACTACCCACGGGGGTCGCATCTAAAGGATCGACTAATTTACCCCGTTGTTTATATCTATATATCTACTAGGTATATATGTACTCATTGTACTTACCTACACCCACGCCTGCTCAAGGCCCACACTCGCTACACTATCTATCTATCCTCTTACTGTTTCCAATATCTGCCAACGTCCCCAATTCCCGGACAAAAAGTTTTCGGATTCGGAATATGCATAGACTATCACCATCACGGCCCACGAGCCGGGCGTTTTTTCAGGGCAGACACACAGGCACACCCAATTGTCGCTTTTCTTGGACATATACCTTGCCTTTTTCCGCTTCTGTGTTTGATATAGACATCATCATGGCTGGGTTTTACGGAGCATTTATCCTTTTCGCATCTGTCGTTTCCGCGAGCGCTTATTCCTTTATTGCGGGGTTTTCTTTTTTCAACTCCATAGAGCCGGTGACGGGCAACTAGATTTTTTTTTCTATTCACTTTGTCCTTGTCGTTTGCCTTCCTACCCTTCCTCTTCCTCTCTATCTATAGAAAAAAGCAAAGGGGGAAAACTTGAACGGTCCAAAAAATTAGTTTCGGTGCGACGGAGTACTGACGTGTGTTTTGGGAGTTTCTATGTCGGTACGTGGTTCGAACACTTTCTGCTTCGATGATGGATCGGGTTATGACCGTGTTGAGGTATATATACAGTGCATGTATATATCTATGCGCGGGCGAGGAGGTTATGTCGAGATTGAGGATATGTGCATATATCGTTGTACATGCTATATGTGGTACCATACGCCTTTCCGAGGGTAGAGATAGCCTGGAGGTATGCAGTTGCGGCTTTGTATCTATTCGTAGCGGACAAGGTCTGTTCGTGTCAATTACATACATCCTACTTGGGCGCGTGGGCCCGAGAACTCAGAATGGTAGTTACATATACCTTCCCTAGCTAGAAGGGCCCTGTCTATTTGGGGGATGGCGAGGTGATGGGGAGAGGAGGGGGTCACATACTTTATGGTGGTCTCAGATCAAGACCCGAAATCCAGAGATATGTTGCCTGATATGATCGACCACACTAGTCTGTGTGTATCTTATTGCTTGCTTCGTGTTCTAGTCCCTGAAAAGCGTGATATTGAGTAGGTATTCAGTATCTCTTTACGTTTGTAGCACCTCTAGAATGGGCTACTTGTGCCCTTGTCTTCCGTGGTATGGATAGTATTTTGTGCTTGGAAGTACGCTATCTACGTACTTATATGCGTAGTTAGTTTCGTAGAAGGTTAGGATAGCTCGGTCCTTTCAGACCGTGAGATCGAAGTGAGGCTGATGGTGAATAATATTGACTTGATCAACTACACCAATACGTTCGTATGTAGCTACCTAGGTAGATCCCTACCCCTAGAAACCCTTGGGGGTACCATTGATTGGTAGCCCTGGAGGTAGGTAATGTGAAAAGAGGTATCTGGGTTTGGAAACCACGACTACAGCGTTCCTTCCCAGTTGAATTAGAAGCCGGTTGCCATGGGCATCATCCGGTACCCGAGGTACTGCCATTCAAAAAGCATTTGGCATATAATTCGTAATTGCCAGCTGATAGATTAACAATCAAACAAATGGCCTGGTCGTGTAGCGGTAGCATGCTCCTACTACGTTCTCCTGGGTCCTAGACCTATAGTTGAGAGCAAGTCGTATTGGGAATGAGTGGGTTCGAATCCCACCCGGGTCTTCACTTTTTGGACTTGATTTTCCCTTTGAATTTTTTTTTACCCTCTCTCTTCCTAATCATATTTTTATCCATCATCTATTCATGTTAATCGCTTCTTCGTTTGCCATGAATAAGTTGTTGTCATTGAGGCAATGCCGACAGATTACGCGCCAAAAAAGGGACCAGTGCATGCAATGCCTGACGGAGTTAGGACGACCCAGGGAGGTGTCTCTTTAATTCAGCGACAATGCGTGAGATGCCATGGCCGGCCTATAATCTACTTAGACAGAAGGGATATCTCGATTAATACATTCAATACATATCTATGTGGCTTTATGAAAAACCACTGAATCCTATACGAGCCGGGTATGGTGAACGAAGCCGCACATCTAGCAGCATACCACGAGACAAATACCAGAAAACTCCTATCCAATGCAATGCCACTCCACTCCACCCGGAAGAGGTATTGCCTTCTAGCGCGCTGGGAAATGTATTATTTTCGACGTTCTTGTTACGTCGCTCCACTCCTATTTCAGTTACTAGGTGGTTGGTCGGGCCTAGATGTGTCACTATATTGATTTTCGTGTTCTATGCCTGCCTCCGGGTCTGAAGTCCTCTGCCTCTTTTGCCTAAAGAAATCCCCTAATGCGCTACTTAGGCTGCGCGCACGCCCTCGGATTGTCTTATTGTCACTCGGCAGAGGATCGTCCGAGTAGGTTGGTTCATCATCGTCCTGATCATCCCGAAGAAGCGGCTCAGTGGCCAAACTTGCGTCGTCTTCGCTTTGTGGGACGAATAGGCTCGACCTGATACTAGGTCTTGTCCGTCTGATAGATCTTCTACGGCCGGAGGGGCTTTCTTCCCCACGTAGGAGAGCATCTGCCACTACAGCGCTGACGGTCGATGACAATGGGGATGGGGATATAAAAGGGTTAGAGAAATGATGACTATGTGGCTTCGAAGCTTGAGAAGCACGAGGAGTCGCGGGTCGATCTGGTGATGAGGGTGGAACAAGCGGTTGTGGGAGGCTCATATTGGATTGGAGAGGATCTGATACGGCAGCAGAGGTTACTGAGTATATCGTAGGGACGCTATCCGCTGATGACCTTGGTGGTAGTCCTGGATGTGGAGTCGAACCATCCATGGAATTTCTCCATGGGTTATCAAGAAGTGGCGATGACTCTGCCGGTGTTGGAAGAGACGTCCGGGAAGTGGACGCGTCAAGTTTACGAGTTGAAGGAGTCCTGCTGCTTTGTGGACGCGCCGATGGCTTGACGCCTCCGTTTGTAAAGCTAACTCGCGAGGCACGTGATGAGCGCCTCGACAACTCGGCTGAAGTTGGTGGTTGCTGATCTGTCCTAGGTTGTCCGGAACGAGTAGGATGGGGATCGGACGCTTCTTGGTCTCTGAGGCCAATAGTCTCTTCTACATTCTCATCGTCTGACAACTGATCTTCGTCGTCTTGTCGCGGCCTCCCACTAGTAATGAGAAAGACCCCGAAAAAGGTGAGAAGGCATCCGCCAACAAATTTGGCAGCCTGCTGTGCTGTCGTGCGCTTAAAGTCTCGATACAAGATAGCACTGCCGATAATAACTGACAAAGTAAACAATACAAACTGGATGGGTATAACTTGTGTCGAATCGAATCGTTGTAGTGCCTTATTGACGTATCGGACTTGCATGACGGCAGTCACGAGCAAAACTATTATCAGGCCATACGTCACCGGGGTGGCAAATGCCCCAAAAAGAGTTGACGAAAGCATCGAGGACACGCCCTTGGTCGTTAGAGCAGTATACCCTCCTGTCCATTTATTAGCACCCAGCCCGGTCGAACGGTGAAAACGCGCGAAACTTACCGAAGAGCCCGACGAGTCCGAGATCGATTAAGATTGTACGGTTGCCGTATCGAGGGCTCGCCCACATTAGGATGACGATAAATAGAATAGTAATACCCATGTATATCTCGAATTCCATCGTCGTGATGGCGTCCCAGACGTCGTGAGGATCTAACTTGGTCTCTTCCTGGTTGGCGCTTAGTACGACTGTAACAGCACCAGCGACGGCAATGACAACGCCCCAGAAATCACGCTTCCGGAACGCCTCGCCAAAGAACATAGGCGCAATAACGCAGTTCGAAATGAGGGCTACCACGCCCAACGGTGACACAATGGAAGCTGGCGCGAAGCCGTATGCCAAAAAGTTGCCCATCTCTCCAAAAGTCATCAAGACTTGACCCAACCACCACGATGGGGACTTCAGGTATGTCGAAGCAACCTTGGGATCATCATATGATCGTTCGGTCAAATTCGAGTCCACCGATTGGACCGACCGTGCAAGTGGATGTGTACCGGTCGAATCGATAGCCTCCTCGCCGTTATTCTGTGCCTCGCCATTAGATGTATCGGCTGTTCCATAGCCGTTACGGTGTTCGCCCCGGGCTCTTTTTAAAGCCTCCTTCGCACGTTCCCGCGCCTCGACCCGACGTCGATGGAGCTGAATGTGGGAATACCTCTGAACATTAAGCGCTAGAGCAATTAAGACGTTGCCCGATATTGCCGTCACAATACCGATGAGCGAACTCCAGTTGCCCAGTTTCGATCCATCCTTGTGGCCTTCTATCGCGCTATCTACGGCCCAACCCATATTGATATTGGTTCTGCCGGTCGGCAAGCTCGACGTGCGCGCTCGGATGGGCCGCAACGGACGAGATTACGGCAATGGTATCGCGATGTTATAGGTAGGTTGATTACCAAGGAACCGTTGTCGATCGGCCTACAATTCGATTGCGCCTATTATGGCCGGTCCGTCCGTAAGCATCGGTCGCGAGTGGATTCATCGGACTTCGTTCGAAGCGGGCTCATGAGTATATCTCACGATGGAAAAGACAGCTTGGTCAATGAATGTGCGAGTCGTAGGAAGCTGTTCGTTGATCGACATGAATCGGAGGTGGAGTGCAAGGAACCCCAACTATTAGTGTCGGGTTGGAAAGATGGGAGCACTCCCACAGGTCCAACAAGTAAGACAGTTATATACGGTCTATGATTGAACGAACATAATACTTAAGCAGGATATCTGTTGAGGATTTTAAGTAGGCAATATATACAGTAACAAGTGATTAGGAGAAAAGAGAATTTATCAAATTGGTAGATACAAGAGAATCAACCGGGAACTAATGATGATAACGTAAAATGAACTTGGATCGTATGGAAGCGACGGAACGTCGATAGTCTGTTCAAAGCGTGACTAGGAACGCCGGGGTACCTACTTTACCTACGACACATACCAGGTATTTACGTATGTAACGTGATAGTACCTTATTGACATCAAATCTACATAGTAATCTATTATAATTATTGTATTGATTGTTTGGCTGTTTGGGCAATTCCAAGGCTTCCGTCATCATGCAGGCCATTAGGTCGGGACTCCACTTCAAGGTTCTACCAACTTACCAGGTACTATGTACTAACTTTAAAATATAGTGGTACATGTTAATCTGATACTGTCCGGGCATTTATATAAGTCAGCCTTGTGCTCCTGCAACATAATTTCGCTCTACTATTTCCAAACTAGACACTCCACGGCGAAAACCCTAACAAAAATGAGTGATGATGAGGATTTTCAGGTCGAAGGACCAATTCTAGCTGATGATGATCCTATGCGCGCATTCCTACCCACCTCCTTTGGGAAAAAATCTAGGGAGGCTGACATCGCTGCGCAAATCGACCGAAGCAAGAGGACCGTCAACCAGCCGGCAGTAGGCAACCCTCAGTCTCCGGAATCAGACTCGGACGATGCAACCGACAGCGACGACGATCCAGGCGACTCAGATGATGAAGACGAATACCCTACCTCTCATGAGATGGTCATAAAGACTCACGATCGAGCTATCACCTCCATTTCACTAGATCCAGCTGGCGGCCGGTTGATATCGGGATCCATCGACTGCACTGTCAAACTCCACGACTTCTCTTCCTTGACGCCGTCGACCATACGTGCCTTCAAGAGTGTTGACCCTTACGCAACCAAAGCGTCAGCAGCAAATGCAGAATCACACCCGATACACCATGTGCAGTTCAACCCCCTCGCCGGGAGCGTCTTCTTATGCATTTCAGCACATCCACAAGCCAAGATCTTATCTCGAGATGGCGATATAATTACCGAGTTCGTCAAAGGCGACATGTATCTTCGGGATATGCACAATACGAAGGGTCACGTTTCCGAGGTTACAACAGGCACATGGCATCCCACAGACAAGAATTTGTGTGTCACTGCTGGGACAGACAGCACATTGCGCATATGGGACATTAATAACAAGCGTAGCCAGAAGGAGGTGATAGTGTTCAAATCGAAAGCCGCCGGCGCTGCAGGCAGGACACGGATGACTGCCGTAGCTTGGGGCACACCAGCCCAGGGAGGCAACAACGTTCTCGTTTCCGCAGCGCTAGATGGGACTCTTGTCATGTGGAGTGGAAATGGTCCATTCACGAGACCTGCCGGAGAGATCAAAAACGCTCACACACCAAATACATGGACCGGTGGTATAGACATAAGCTCAGATGGGCGAATGGTGGTGACGAGAGGCGGCGATAACTTGATTAAACTATGGGATACGCGCAAGTTCAAGGAGCCTCTCGTCTCTGTTGAGCATCCATCTACGTCAGATCACTATCCGACGACCAACATCAAGTACGCGCCAAATTCTACGAGTATTATCACTGGATCGGCAACGGGCCACCTCCACATTCTGAACCCGGGGAACTTGCGCTCCGAGTACACTACACCGGTTACGCCCGGGTCGCCTGTGATCACGGTGGATTGGCACCCAAAGATTAACCAGATCATTACGGGCTCTGCAAATGCGGAGACGCATATTCTGTACAACCCCACGATGTCTACCAGGGGCGCGGTGGATGTTATGTCACGCGCTCCGAAGAGACGACACATTGATGACAATCCAGAATTTACTACTGACCTATCCCTTGGACTTTCTGGGGATTCGATCATCACCCCGGGCGCTCTACC